GTCGATCGATGACTTTCAATTTTTTTTTTTATTATTATTATTTTTTAGCCTAAGATTTTAGCAGCTGACATTGTTGATTATCTCGAGTGTATTTGTAATGTATTTGAAACTTGTGCTGCATGGTAATATTGGTAATCATTAAATATATTAAAGAATGAGTACCTATTCTCATGAATAATCAGCATTTTTCATTAGTGGGATTTATAATTTTTGTACCAATAAGATTGAATATGATACTATTAATTTTCAAATATAAATATCAAGTTTTCTATTTACAATACTGTTAAAGGTTAAAATTACAGCCTTACTATTAGGGTTAGGGTTGTAAACAAATCAAGCGGCTTTAAAGAGTAGAGCTCGAGCATCTTGAATTTAAGTCGAGCTTACGCTTATAATTTATGAACTAGAGTGCTTGTAGAGCTGCACGAGCACCTTGAATTCAAGTCGAGCTTAAGTTTATACTTTATGAAGTAGAGTGCTCGTGGAGCTGCTTGAGTAAAAATATTTAACCTGTAGTCCCACCCGCTTAAGCTCGAATGGTATAAGGAATCAATAATTGAAATAGCAGAAAATCTATCTTCAATAGGAATTTCTACTCAACGAACGAAGCGAACTTCAGTCAATTATCTTAACTTTAGCTAAATTCATGCCAAATTTAAGATAAATTTGTGCTGAGTTTGAGCAAAATTTTTATGTAAGTATTTAATTTTATTTAAATTTTGGCTAAGCTTAGGCGATTAATTGGAGCACATAAAACCCGATCATTTGTATAACTTTGTAGAGTCGAGTCTAACATTAAAAATCTCGTCTCATCGAGCTCAATCGTGAGTAAATGTGAAAAGAATTGAGCCTCGCTAGATGAGGCAATTGTTCAAACTTAAATCGGTTTGTTTGCAATCTTATTTCATATCGACTTTTATAAATTGAGAGAGAGAGAGAGAGGTGTTTTGGAAAAGAGACGAGCTCATGTATTTGAAACTTATTTATTTATTTAGAAAAAAAAAAANNNAAAAAAAAAACTTTGTGGACTCGCAATAAGACTCATTTCCTATAATATACTCTAAAGCTTCGGCCTGACTGTGGCCACTATAAGGTTTGAGCTTTTTGGGCCTATCCAATGTTCAAGCCCGTAATTCCCAAAGCTTTAAACCCCACCTTTCTGCCATAACAAATCAAGGCACCTCTATAGCCAGCCGCGTCGGAGAGCTTCTCGCTGTCGTTTTCCACTGGAAGGCTTAGAAGATGAAGCTTGACGTGGACGCCCTGCGCTACCTGTCCAAAGATGACTTCAGAGTTCTCACTGTTGTCGAGATGGGCATGCGAAATGTTTGTCCCTCTCACCATTTTTTTTCTCATTTAATACCTTCTGTTCGGATTATAGTTGAATTTGTTTTCCTTTCAATTGATTATTGCAGCATGAAATTGTGCCGTCGGAGTTGATAGATCGAATTGCGTCTCTCAAGTGAGTTTGTCTTTTCATTTTTGGTGCATTTAAGGTTCAATATAGGTTGAATTGTGAGGTATTCTATTGAAGGTTTTGCTTTGGTCTTAGTATATGCTGGTGTACAGACATGGAGGTACTTATAAAGTTTTGAAGAATTTGCTCAAGCACAAGCTCTTGCATCATGACTCAGCTAAATGTCAGTATTATACTTTTTAGGAGAAAAAAATATGCTCTGAGCTTCTACTGTTTACAATCAAGATTAGTGTTTTTTGAGCAGGATCAGTATTTATTATGTGATCTGTCTTGTGAAGATATCTAAATGCACTTCTATTGGTAACTTACAGCTGTGCATTGAACTTTTGCAATGCATTCTTGGTACAAATTATGGGTTCAGGCTTACATACATGGGCTATGACTTTCTTGCGATAACGACATTGGTAAATCGAGGGGTGTTTGCTGCCGTTGGTCGTCAAATTGGTGTTGGGAAGGAGTCTGGTATAATTGCCTTATTAAGTTTAATTTTTTCTTGCCAATTGTTTATTGACTATCCACAATTTTTTTTTCCTGATTTATATTTCTGTGTTCAAGATATATTTGAAGTTGCTACAGAAGATGGTACAGATCTTGCCATGAATTTACACAGACTTGGTTGGACGTCTTTCAGAATAGTAAAGTCGAAACGTGATTATTTGAGGCACCGTAGTAGCTTTAATTGGTTGTACTTGTCACGGCTTGTTGTTCTCAAAGAGTTTGCCTTTATGAAGGTTTGACTACTATAGATATTTTTAGATTGCTACTTTATTTTTTATTATGGAGAGAAAATGGTGCTGTTTTTTCTATCAAATAAATATTTTGTTGTTGTGTTATTGCTGGACAGGCTTTGGATGAACATGGTTTCCCTGTTCCACATGCAGTGGATTGCAATCGGCATTGTGTCGTCATGTCACTTATCGAAGGATATGCACTTTAAGTTTTGATTCTATATCCTCTTATATGCCTTGAATATTCTTGTTCTAGTATTACATCATGTAATGACGCTTGCTATACCTTTTTGTGTGAATATAATGTATTCGATTGACTTACATTCTCTGTTGCTATGCTGAAAGTGAAGGAATGCCTAGTTCAAGATTATTGTTGGGTGTCTCGTAACTTACCATTTCTAATGTTAAGCGAGCAGATAAATTCACTGCCACTTGTCCACATTCATTGATCTATAAACTGTTAGTTCGAATATTGTGATTAGTTGAATTTGGAAATTGAATAATATCAGAGAAAACTTTGCTTGTCTTGGATTCTTGTCCTAAGTTTCTATATACGATTGGAAAGAAGTACTGGCAGAGTGAAATGGATTTTGCAATGAAAATGGCAAAAGATAATGCGCCTAATGATTTAGCAGAGGATAGTTTCTGAAAATACCCCCAAACTATGTTTTCATTGTCAAAAGTTGATTCCGGGTGAATGTTGCAATCAAACTGCAGCAATGTGAATTAATTTGGGCAATGTTGTAACTGTGTACATGTTATCATAGTGTAGTAGTGGGCATAATAGGAGAGCTAGTGAGGACCTAATGGATCGCTGTATAAATTGTTATATTTTCTTCATTTTGTTGGCTATCCAAGTGGTCGTTCTCTAGCGATCCTTTTTACTAGGTTAGTTATGATTTAACTTTTTTCATCTGTCTTTTCAAGATACTTGGAATATGATGCAAGGCCATCCTATTTCATTCAGTGTACATGTTAAGCAATTGTCGAATCCAGACACTGTCGTTGAAACAATACTTGGCCTTGTCGTTTGTCTGGCGGAGCTTGGGCTGATTCACTGCGTTTTAATGAATTCAACATTATGGTATGCTAATGTAGCACTTCATGATCATTGTGTTATGATTTTTAAACCCACTATAACCTGGAATTTTACAAATATCCGGCACTCAGGAACATTTTCTTGTTGCAGATTGATGACGATGAGAAGATCACCATGATTGATTTTCCGCAAATGAGTTTCTCACCGAAATGCAAAGATGTATGCTGCATTTACCATTTCTTTCTTTGAGTCATCATGCTAATAGTAGAAGGCATTTTCTTTAAATTTGCTACTATTTTCTATTTCTCCATGTACTTCGACCGTAATATTGAATGCATCTTTAAGTTCTTTAGAAAGAGGTAAGTGATACATTTTATTTTAACATGTAAAAATAAGTAAATGAATGTTCTTTTTCTTCTTCCCCTATTTTTTGTAACAGAAAGTGCATACTTTAGGTTACATTATTCGACGATATTTTTGGCTTTATCTACGTAATAGGATGTCATGATTCTACTTTAGTCCAGTTATTAGTGTCCCTTGAAATTCCAGATATTCTATTGGAACTTTCAAGTCTTTCAATGTACCTTAAGTGGCCAAAGTTTTGAATTTATTAATATTATAATACTTCATATATTATATGTTATATGATATTAAGTTTGAAAAATTAACATGCAAAATAACATGCACCTAGCGAATGTTTTGGGGGTAGTTCCGCAATCACCAATCAAAATCTGGTTTATGTTTTCCAATTCATTACTCTACTAATATACACGTTTTTCTGAGAATTTGCCGATCAATTTGTTATTAAAGAAAATGATATTGATCACTACACCTCCACGTGCACATATTTTAAACAAGAGGAACCTTGTTGATGTTCAGTAAGGCATGACATCTTTTGGTTTTTCATATATTAAAAGCTTACTTAGCCTAGTTTTTCTCTTTATCAGGTTCAACATCTCTTTTGTATAAAATGAAGTTGAGTCTGATGACTCGGATGTAGATTCAGAAGAAAGTTGTCGGCCACAGTTTTTCGAAATAAAGAAAGTTATTGGTTGTCTGGACAAGGAACTTGAAGCCAGTGGTGTCGCAAGGAAGAATCAAGATGACATAGAAAAGGTGCAACTTTATTTATTTTATTCCTGCCAACGACCTCGTAACAGGCTGCTTTCACCATGAAGCAGCAAGAAACTGCATTTTTTTCTCATATTACTGTAATATCAATTTGCTTTGTGCCACAATGAAGTGTGTGATACTTAATGGTTGTGAGTGCTATAAATTGGTAATTTGTGTTGAAGCATTAAGTTTTAGCTTTTGAAATGACTTCTTTTTTTGGATCTTAATTCATTCACAGTTTATTGATGGGGATTTAGAGAAAAGTCAGATGTCCGAATCTGATTGTGAAGAATCTGAAGACGAAGAAGATATTGTTGGCTTAGTAAATGGTGCTAGTGTGAAAAAAATTGAGCAATTGAGCCTGGTTCAAAAGGTTAAAAGTTTCATATCTTTTTTATTATTTTGAGACTGGAACCTTTTTAATTTTTCGTTTTCAATGAATATTTATTGTAATATGTTTTCTATATTTTCAATCACATCACAATAATGTTTTTCATATTTTCAATCACATCACAACAATACATCTTGAACTTTTACACAATCTTTCCACATAATATTGATATATGCCGTGATCGAGAGCAACCCATAATGGCTTCTTTGATAAGACCACTTATTTATCTATTGTTCTTCGCATATAAGAAACCTCTATTGCGTAATTCTTCTTCTCTTTAATTTTGCTCACATGAAGGAGGTAATTTACTGGAAGCATCCAACGAGTATCATATACAAGAAAATAATACCTCCAAAGAATGTAGTCAAATTGGGCCCAAGCCCTTGAAAAACAAAAAGTTCGAACAGGAGGATAATAATGCCCAGGATGACATACAAGTTGGGCCTGGGCCTGAAGATGAGCCAGGAGAAGAAAATGACCCTGAACTTGACAAGCGTCTAAGCAAACAACGCCAACGGGCCATTCAAGAGGCCCGTGGGAGGAGAAAGGTTATCACCTCCAGAAATACTTACAAGGACAAAGGCGGGAGGTCATCTAATAATTCGAAGATCCAAAAGCAATTAAGTAGCTGAAAAATACTTTGTGCTAAATCGAAATTCAAATTTTGTCCTGATAGTGAAATTTTGATTTGAAAGAAATGTTGTACTTCTACACCTGTGGCCACAATGTGTTCTTCCATACATGAGACTCCCATATATGATTTATCCATACATAGTTTTGGTTTGCCTCTAAGGGCACCAGCAGGGAACTCATAATTGATAGATGGGTTTTCCTAATGACTAAGACTGGCAGGCTTTACTTTGATTCCAGAAAATATACTCTCATGTGATCAATTTTATCAATGTTGAGCTTGAGTCAAACATTTGGGTTAGCAGGTCTCTTGTTTCGCGCTATATATATATATATATATATATATGTGTGTGTGTGTGTGTGTGTGTGTGTGTGTGTGTGTGCGTGTGTGTATTCTGATTAATGCAATGATAGTTGCTACATGCTACACATGTTCTGAGTAAGAATGCACCAGCTGTTTCATTCACTGTAGAGAACTAGAGATCAATTGAGAATCTGAGATTTGCTTTTTAGTTTTTACACTGCAACTTTTGGAGACATGAGCAACAATAGTAAGCATGACACTCTTTTATGCCTTAATACACCATATATTTTTTAGTAACTTGACCTAAAACTAAATATCAGGCTCATTCGAGATATTCTTTCCGACTTGGTTTTTAGGGCTACGGCCTTTAGTGGATTTGTTGGTTAATTAGAGCTAATTGTTGGAAAAATTGATTGGGTTCGGTTGAATTGAATTTTGAGTTTGTATTAAAGTAATATTTTAACATATAATGATTAAAAGTTGATTTGGTGTATAAGTAGAAGAAAGATGATTGAAAATGGTGGATAATTGAAATGACGTGAGTGAGTGAGTGAATAGTGAATTAAATTGATGATTGGAAGTAAGGATGCTTACAATTATGTGAGTTGATGAATAGTAAATTAAATTTGATGTAATGTTTGAGAATGATTGATTGATATTTTAATTATATTGATATTATTGACTGTGGTTGAGTCTAGATAAATTTAAATTATATTTTGATTTAAAAAAATTATTTGATGACAAGGACAGATATGTTACAAAACAATCATGTCCTCAGGTTCACAAAAATTCTATAGAGTAATCGGATAATTTCCTTATTGAGTCGCTCCATAACTTTATGTATTGACACATGTTTAATGTGCAGTTATTGCATAACACATGTCAATACACCATTTGCGAATAACTATGGATGACTCCATAAGCCAAGTCATCTAATGACTTAATAGCAAAACCGGTCAAGTTCAATAGACAAATAGCCAAAAACCGAATAATATGATGGATTGGCTATAATTGTTTCTTATTTTTCCCCCTATATTGGGACACATTTTTTTCACCAACATAGTAATTTTACCTTCTATTTTTTATTTTATTAAAGGGGTAAAATTTGAATTTTCATATCACTTTAAGAAATATCTCTATTGGGTCCTTTATAAATATTGAAAATCATCATTTCACCAACCTCATGGTGGCCCACTACTCGCTCCCAGCCCAATAGTGCCCAAGAAAAATTTGACCTATCAAAAGGACGTGAGGTCATTTTGGTCATTTAACCCCACCTGGGGGTTGGTTAATGGGTCGGTTTATAGGTGGCGGCATTTTCTACCCATTTGAAAAGACCCTTTAGCCCCTCCTCACCTACCTACCCACCACATTTTTGCTTCCTCTGTAAAAATCAAATAAATATTAAAAAAAAAAAAAATCCGAAATTTATATATTTATAGCTGTGCAGCAGCAGAGCTTCAGATCTGATCCCAGCTTCATCTGTCGAGTTCCGAGATCTAATCAAGGTCAGTCATGGCGGATTATGATTTTGCTCTGCAGGCCACATTCCCCATTTTCCTACTTAACAGTTTTTTTCTGTTCTTTTTTTTTATTATTATTTTTTGTTTTGGGGGAAATGGGGTTGAATTTGCTTGTATCGAACGCAGGTAATCAGGGATGAAGGTGATAGAGAAGATCCGGGAGGCGGCGGCAGCCGACAACGACGGCCGGGTGGTGTTCTCCTTCGAATTCTTCCCGCCGAAGACGGAGGACGGCGTCGACAACCTGTTCGATAGGATGGAGCGGATGGCCGCGCACAGCCCCACGTTCTGCGACATCACGTGGGGCGCCGGCGGGTCCACGGCGGACCTGACGCTGGAGATCGCCAACCGCATGCAGAACATGGTGTGCGTCGAGACCATGATGCACCTCACCTGCACCAACATGCCCGTCGAGAAGATCGACCACGCACTAGCCACCATCAAATCCAACGGCATCCAGAACGTCCTCGCCCTCCGGGGGGACCCACCGCACGGCCAGGACAAGTTCGTGCAGGTCGAAGGAGGATTCGCGTGCGCCCTTGACCTGGTGGGTATGGTTGGGATAAATTCCCATTTCCGCCTGTTCTGTGATTGATGTTGGTGTCTCAGCTTGCGAAATTGCTGATTGTGTTTGCCTCTGTTTGTTTGCAGGTTAAGCATATCCGTGCGCAGTACGAGGACTATTTTGGGATTACTGTTGCCGGTTATCCAGGTGCTAATATGCTGTTCTTTTCGGCAAACGAATATTATTGTGTCGTTAAACTGTCGGTGCTGTAGTAGTTGACATGGGTTTAAAAGCAGTGTTGAATACTATCACGATTTTTCTTTGTTCTAGCTGATTCCCTCTTCCGAAATTTTGTTAAATTGATATTCCTGTCCTGAGATTAATTTTGTTGGATCTTTTTACATTTGTTTAGCTGGCATTTACTTTTATGGTCTTTTTAAGTGTGCTCTGTGAATGTGATTACGTCACTATAACACGGCCTAACTGTATCTTTACTTTATTCATTCAGAGGGACACCCTGATGTTATTCAGGATGGAGTGGCACCACCAGAGGCATATCAGAATGACCTTGCTTATCTAAAGAGAAAGGTGGCCCTCTTGTGCGGAATTTAGTTTGTAGGGTATCTTATTGTAGTAGTTTCAGAGTATCTGATTGTTCAAGTTCTCCATTTTTTGTTGTTGTCTTTCAGGTTGATGCTGGAGCCGATCTCATTGTAACTCAACTCTTCTACGACACTGACATCTTCCTAAAATTTGTCAATGACTGTCGTCAAATTGGAATCACCTGTCCCATTGTACCTGGTATCATGCCCATTAACAATTACAAGGGTTTCCTCCGCATGACAGGATTCTGCAAAACTAAGGTGGGAACTTCACTATTTACTACCTCTCGAGATACATTTATGTGGGTTGCATCAAGACTCAAGATAGCTTTATAACTCTGTTAATAATAATATTGTATTAGCTTATTCACCTCAAGATAATTATCATTGTTTAAATGGTGAAATGAGGCATAGATACTGCAACATTCACCGTGATTTGTGAACGATATACAGATTGTGGGGGTAAACATTATCTTGTTTCACATGCTGTCTTGATTGTCTAGTGATCAAGGTGGATTTAAGAAACTAAAGGAACAACTTAATGATGGCTAGTGTTCACCACTGAGCTGCTAAATGAAATTCCCAACTTGGAATCTCTTCCAAGCTATGATAGAGGTGTTTCTGATTGTGCCGGGCAGCCCTCATATTTGTGTAGGTTTATTACTGAAGTCTGTGATATGCCGAAATTTTCCTTGAACTAGTGTTTTGGTATTGTTTAAGAAGATATACTTTGCATTAAAATTAACACAGATGCATAATTATTTGAGATCCAAATTCTAGTTTATGTCGGCCATATTTTATAGAAATGATTGTAGACAATCAGATTGATTATTTGTTGGTATAGGAGTGAGAGTTGGATATTTGGACTGAACATTTAAGGTTGAGTTCATTTGTAAACAGCTCAATATATTGTAAGAATAAAACTGAGGAGTACATCTTTAGCGTCAGGCATAGAGGGCAATGCTATGATTTAGAATTATGCCCGAGGCACATTATCCAATTATTTGTTCTTTTTTCTTCTGTATAGATCTATATTCTATTCATGGCATCTTCCTGACTTGATCGATCATCTCTCTGAGATCAGTTCAGATCTTTTATGATATCAGGCTCTCTAATTTAACTATCAAGGTAAAAACTAAATCAAAGATCTACAGACTACCCTAGGCTTACTTTCTACAGTATAGAATGTTTCCCGTTGAATGTTCTGCTGCAGTGAGAAAACTACACTTAGCAAAAACAAGGTTCCAGGCACTAATGATGCGGATCAAGTTCATCAAACTTTTTTAGAACCTTAGTTCATTGCTCTTGTCTCTACCAATAGCAATATCAGGTTCTGGTAATGCATAACTGCCCATGCTCCTAGAACAGCAAAAATAACTGTTATAGCTTTTTATCATTTTGTGCAAAAAATTTGGAATTTGGGAGTCTCATATTTAGTCACTGGTGAATTATTGTATATGCAACTTGCACTTTTTTTTTTGAAAAATTTGTATGATGACTTGCTTTTTTTCCTGCCTTATGTTTTCCTTTCCCCTGTTATGCCTTTCACGGATCCCATTTAGTATTTATCAAACATCTAATGCTTTCTTATAGATTCCACCCGAGATTATGGCTGCCTTGGAACCAATCAAGGACAATGAAGAAGCTGTTAGGGCCTATGGGATTCACCTTGGAACAGAAATGTGCAAGAAGATTATTGCTAGTGGGATCAGAACTCTACATCTGTACACTTTAAACATGGAGAAATCTGCACTGGCAATATTGATGGTTTGTTTTCTTTACTTGTCCTTTTTTTGTAGATTCATTACAACAAACTACATATGACTGTGAAGAGAAAACATCGTACTTATTTGGATTTCCACCTGCAGAACCTTGGACTGATTGAGGAGTCCAAGATTTCAAGATCTTTGCCATGGAGACGGCCAGCAAATGTTTTCCGTGTTAAAGAAGATGTTCGTCCCATATTTTGGTAAGCTGATGTTACTCTCAGCTTCCAGAATCCTCTGTAATTTTTCCAAAATTTAGTTAGTAAAATGTCTGATGTATCCTGGCATATGATGTTAGGGCTAATCGTCCCAAAAGCTACATCTCGAGAACTGTTGGTTGGGACCAGTACCCACAAGGTCGATGGGGAGATTCTCGAAATGCATCGTATGGGGCACTCAGTGATTATCAGGCATGCACCTTTTAATCCTAGTAATTCCCTGGATGTGTTTATTTCAAGCAAATCTATTTTCGATTCAGTGGCATCCGCTGTTTTCCTCGAGCTTCTTTGGTGCCACAGACTTTGATGTCCTCACACTGATACTTCCCTTGCATTCTGATCGATCTTCTGAATTTACTTCCCTTGTTCCTAGCATTGAGAGAGATCCATCCTACTTTCTGGTTGATTAGTTAGTATATCAGGCCCATGAGTATAAGCCAGGAGACTGCTTCTAATATCGTTTTGGTGCATGACTTTTCAATACTCACCAAATAAATGTCGGAAGCTACTATTTTTCAATCCCTATTTGAATTTTCCTTAATATTTTCTTTAACCAGTTTTAAATTTTTCTGATACTAGAAATGCTTCTTAAATTGTTGCATTAATTTACTTTGAATCATGGCAAAGGGATTAACTAACCCAAATTAACTATGTAGGTTTCACCTTTCCTGTTATTGTTTTCTTCTTTCAGCCTGTGCATTGTTGCTTCATGCAATTCGACTGTGTTTTATCTTCTTGTTGTACCTTTTCCTGAAAGAAAACTACCATACTAAAAGTGATAAGAATCTCCTTGACAGTTCATGCGGCCACGCGCACGTGATAAGAAACTTCGTGAGGAGTGGGCTGTCCCGTTGAATAATGTTGAAGATATTTATGAGGTGTCAAAACTTACAACTCTTGCAAACATATAAATTTTTTTATGACAAAATCGATCCTTACGAAAATTCCAATGCATCTCAGAATTTTATGAAGTTCTGCCTTGGGAAACTCAAAAGCAGCCCGTGGTCTGACCTAGATGGGCTTCAGCCGGAGACCAAAATCATCAACGAACAGCTTGGCAACATTAATTTGAAAGGTTTTCTCACTATCAACAGTCAACCAGCTGTTAATGGAGCTCGGTCTGATTCCCCATCTGTTGGTAAGATAATATTTCAACTTTCCATGGGGATTTGACAAACACACACACACGTGCAAATTATATCAAAAAAAAGTCATCATTTTGCACACGCCCGTCAATTTGAATGAGACGAGGATCCATTCTTAAGATTCATCTGTGTTATGATCATTTATCTAATGGGAACTGGTTTTAATTGATTTCTTCAGCATATTTTAACCTGCTACTTTACAGGGTGGGGTGGGCCAGGAGGGTACGTGTACCAGAAGGCTTATGTAGAGTTCTTCTGTTCTCCCGAGAAGCTAAATGCTCTAGTTGAGAAGTGCAAAAACTTCTCGTATCTAACCTACATGGCCGTGGATAAACAAGGAAGTTGGATATCAAATGTGAATAAGACTGATGTGAATGCTGTGACTTGGGGAGTTTTCCCGGCAAAGGAGATTATTCAACCAACTGTTGTTGATCCCGAAAGCTTTCTCGTGTGGAAGGATGAAGCTTTCGAGATATGGTCTAGGGGATGGGCTAAGCTCTACTCTGAAACTGATCCATCCAGAAAATTACTTGAGCAGGTAAGTTTTTTCTTTTTTTTTTTAACACATCCCGGATTTCATCCCTTGGTTTTCGACAGAATTTACGAAAAAGAAAAATTAATTTGTGGTATTTTGCATGGTTTTGTTACATTCTGGGTTTGTGCAGGTGGAGAGCAGCTATTATTTGGTTAGCTTGGTTGACAATGATTACATCCATGGAGATCTGTTTGCTGTTTTTAAGGACATTTGATCAAGTTTATTATACATTGCAAGAAATCGGCCTTTTTCCATTCATCGTCTTGTGATCTCCTTAAGTAAATCAATAAAACGAATTGTTTGTACCGCCATGTAACATTTATATATTATTCACTTGAGGATTTTGGAATTTTCATTCAATTTATGATGTAATTTTAGCCTGAATTTGTGATTGTATTCTTAAAAATTTAGTCACAGTAGCATCAATTTATTATTATTATTATTACTATTATTATTATTATTATTATTATTATTATTATTATTATTATTATTATTTATTTATTTTCTGGTAGATTGTCTGGCACATCACATGTTAATTAGAATTTAGAGCAAATGTGAGTGAATTCCACATGGATGCATGCACCCTCAAGTTGGACTACAGTGCTATATTGAGTAGCAAATCACACATTATCATTATGCGTGTCATATTTTTCAAGTGATACCTAACAGAACTTGTAAATATTTCAAGACACAGAATATAAAAACTATATATCTACAACTGACAGCCCCAAAAATGATACCAATAAAGGAAATATAGGATCAGACAAGACAAGACTTCATAACCACATTTTTCTTTGGAGAGACCAAAACCCGCCCGCAGACGAGCAGGATGAAAACGAGTGTGTCGCGCAAAGTTCTTAGCAGTCGAGCTAAGAACTTACCCACCTTTGATGTTTGCTTACAAGTGATGTACACTTTGTAGATTTTAATTTTATTAGGACCAGCTATTGATTTAAATCTACAAAGTTATATCACTTGTAATCAAACATCAAAGGTGGGTAAGAATCATGTGTAACGAAACCACAAAAGTTGTGTTGAAATTGGGTTCGTTCACACCTGCTCCTAATGATTGATGGTAATTGTTTTGATTGAGATTCTTGAATTCGGTTTCGGTGTGCCCATGCTCTCTCGGAACTGTGTTTGAAAATGATAGAAGAACGTTATTTGATTTGGAAAAAAAAATTATCAGATTGGTGTGAGCACTATTCACATCAGGGTTTGAGCCGTTAGATCAACACACACTTGCACGAGTGTGTTTATGAACGGTTCATCTAACGGCTTATACTCAGTGTTGGTGAATCTTCTTTGCTATTCATTGCATGTCATATTATAGGCTTAAATTGTGAAAAAAAAAATATTCATTTATTTCCTTTTTTTTTTTCAAAAATGATGCATTCATTCAAGTTTCAGTGGAAGATGCAAACATGGAGCCAACTGGGCCAATTTCTCTTTGATATGTTTAATTTAAAGCACTTTCATATTATGCTTTCAAATTCAAATTTGATATAATCAAAGATTACACAAAAGTATTAGAACTTTACATGGAACCTTCTGAAACATGAGTAGGATTCATTATGTAAATCAAGAACCAGTCAATACCTAAAACTAAAAGTACAAAAGCCACACGAATTTACAATATCTACCTTAATATCTACCTTAATAACTTATAAGAAAATATTAGACTCCTTTTAGAGGCGACACGTGGCTTATTCCTTTAGCTTCTTTTGAGCTCTTTTTTCTGTGATTTTTTTTAAGCCA